TTTGTCAGGGGTTGTTTCAGTGTTAGTACGGAAAGTCCTGCATCTTGAGAAACTGCTTAGTCCTGGTCAAACCGAGATGATGGGTCACCTTACTGTCATTCATTGAAACGCCCACTGAGAAACATTTTAAAAAGATGATAAGGAGCATCTGCAAATAGCATGTTATTCAATAATGAGAAGGGCCAGGAAACCCAGGCTCTAAAGGTGACTTTCAGAAGTGAAGTACCTAAATTTTATACCTGTTTAAAACAAAGAGGGATCAACTAGATACCTGTGGCCAGAGAAGGCTGATTGATTCACTTAAGAGACCTTTACTGAGCATTTAATACATCCCTGAGGTTCTGTGTGACCCAGTACATTTGCTTAATAAGGTTATTCTGTAAGTTCATCTCACTGGACCCTGTGGTCATGGAAACCTGCTGTTTTTTATTAGACTCACCTAGAATTATCCTAAATTTCCCATTTTGCTTTATAATTTCAAGGCATTGTGTTATTACTGGTAACTTTCTTTTCCTTTCTTGCCCTCCCTTGAGTTCCCTCCCTTCTTCCCTCTCTCCCTCCCTCCCTTTCTCTCTTCCTTCCTTCTTTTTTTTTCTTTCTTTCCCTTTCTTTTTTCCTTTCTTTTTCTTCCTTTCTTTATTTTTCTGTTTGGTGTTTATAGTGAAAGAGCAGGGAGGAGGGAAGAGATCCCAGCAGAGTCTGTTACATTATGATCCTTGCTCCCAGCCAGCCAGGATCCTAAGCATGCTGCCTTATCCGGTGTGTTCAGGTTGGTCCAGGATTGAGTTGCTCCCTGCTGCCTTTGCCATCATGGCTGGACTTATGGGTAAAAACGTCTGAAGAAAGGCCCTGGCAACATCTCTTTCCTGTATAGTTAATTATTCTGCTGCAATTCTCCTAGCAGAGACTTGTTAACAGCCGAGGCATATATTACCTTGGGAACTCTCCTGTGCCCACAAACAGCCAGCCAAAGGCCAAGTTTCCTGACTGTACCATACTGACTCTCTGTGGTTCCTGGGTATCATCAGAATATGCCAAGGTTGACCAGGTTCCAGAATGCCTTCCCTGATGATTCCTGCCCACCTGCCTCTGTGCTGTGGTACCGATCATTTCTGAGACTAACATCCATTCTTCGAGCTGAGTGGATGCACCAAACAATGCAAACAAGATTGAAGTCTGAATTATGCTTTAAGTGCCTCTTGGTAAGTGGTGCCAATAAAATGACAATAACTGTTCTAAACACAATGTTACGCTTCCAGCAGCTGCAAAGAGCATGTATCAAAGGCTGAACCACTTCCGAAGGAGGAAATGGAAGTCTGTTTTCTGAATTCAGAGGGACTTGATGTCTTGGAAGGCAGAATGACTAAGAATTGTGCATTCGTGTAACCCTGTTTTTCAGGATGTGTTAGAATCCTCCGAGAGAGTCCTGTTCCTCCTGTCTCAGTGCCATTATAGTCCCGAGTGTGTTAATGGTATGGGTAGATATATTCATGCCTTGGTGAGTTAAGAGTCCTATTGGCGGTATTTACATGTTTTTCCCATAGGCACTCAGAGGCTGGGTGAATAGCTAAGCAGTGCATGGGAAGGTAGACTTGCAGCTCTGCCAGTTGTCCTGAGAACACGGGATGGGAGTTGGCTCTCACAGAGCCCCCACCTAGCAAGGTCTCCTCTCTGGCTTCTTCTTCACAGTATTCTTTGAGAAGAATACTTCTTCCTCCCAGATTCTTTGAGACATTTTCCCTTAAAGGTTCATTTGGTGAGGTGTCCACTCATAGCTAGGAAATAATGGGCACTCATATTACTCCAGGTCACCCCAGTCTTAGTATTCTTTCTTCCATTTTGACCCATAAAGAGCATTTACTTAGTACTGAATAGATAAATGGGTTGATAAGTGAGTGAATGAAACCTACCTGCCTTCTCTGTCCTCTGAGAAAATCTACTTCCTGTTGATATGATGGCCTTACCACCGTGTCTATAAACCCAGCCTTCAGTACTAATACCACAGAGAGATAGAGGAGGAGTGGGCTATGGAAACCACAGAGAAGGAGGCTGTGGCCATATACCTCCAGGCAGCCTCTTAGCCCAGGGAGCCTTAATGGCCAGAGCCCAGGGCACTGCGTGGAATTAATGGCTGGCTGGGAAAATGGCCCAGGACACAGTAAGGGCCATTAAGCCTAGCCAGTTATTAATCCCCAGTAAGAGCTTGATGCCAAGGTCATTAGAGCTGTTGTGAAGTGAAAAATGCCCAGGAAAATCCACAGAGCATGGAGGAGTTACCCATTCTGCAGCCTGCTAATACTCAGAGCTGTGGTCCAGTTCCCCACAGGCGTGATGCACAGGAGCCTGTGGGAGGCAGATGGTCAGGCTCTCTACAGGGAGTGTGTGCATGCACACACGTGTGCACACGTGCACACGCACACACACATGCACAGTGCTTATCATTTTATTTCTTCTGTGTCTTTTGTTCTTTGATTATTTGTATGCATTTGTCATCTTCCCAGAACCTGTAACACTGCCTGTACCTTGAGGGGGGGGGTCATGAATATTTTAGTGTGTAAATGAGTCTCTCCTCTACTACCTCCTGCTCTTCCCACCTCCACCAAACAAAAATGAACAAAACAACAACAATAACAACAAAGATCAACCCTCAAATCTGGGAATAGGAAAACACAACTTTCATCACAGCTAACTCCTTTGGGCTATGGTGACAGGAGCAACCCTTACTTAGGGAAGCATGCTCAGGGAATCAGGTTTGATTTCTGTCACAGCCTGAAGAGCAGCAGCAGAAGGAATTCTCCCTGTGACCCAGCTGATGCCTCCAGAGCCTTCCCTAAGAGAATAGACCAGGCCAAGGCAAATTAAACTTGACACCTAAAACACTCAGTGATGTCCTTGCAAACATTTGCAGCACGGCAAGATCAGGCTTCAGTTTTTAAAATTCTGATTTATTTGGCAGAGGGAAAGGTACCTCAGAGCATAATGTCCATTAGCTCAATAATGAGACCGGTCTTGCTCTGGGAGCTGCCTGTTGGTCTGGAGCAAACATAAGATATATTAAACAGCTTCAGGTGTTTCAAGAATCTCTGCACTTTCCAATCTGATGTTTTCCTGTAATTGCTGGGCTTTTATTAGCTGTCAATCTCAGTTCAGGCTGACACTGGGTATAAGCCATGCTGATTATTTAATATGATTCACTAGAAAAATGTTACTCTTTCAAGCTGCTCTTTC